TTTGCAAATCTCTCTTAGCCAATCAGTTTTTTTTTTTTTGTTGTTGATGTTATTCTATTTTTTTCTGTTTGAAGGCAGAAGCGTCTTTTTACTATTTAACCGATTCATATGGAAATGATCAACTTCTTTATATTTCGGGTTAGTGTTTTTGATAACCGCTCAATCATGGATTTTTTTTATTATTCTTTTTGTAAATTATCTAATCGATTTTGCAGTCATCTTTGTTTGCATTTCTTCATCAATGGCGGCTTCGAATGAGACTTCTTTTGTTGAGTGTGTTTCGTTAAATGAAACACATAAAATCATGAATTTTTTCTTCTATTGACGAAACCATGAAATCTTGAAACATTCCATGAAATCATGAGTTTTTCATTTACGAAACCATGAAATCACGAGTTTTTTCATATTTTTTATAACATGTGTTCTTAACTGGATTTTAGGATTTTTTTTAAGAAACAAAAACATGAGTTTTTGGAGGTTTTTAGGAGTCTTTTAGGAATATTTTTTTACCATTCTACTCTTCCAGCATCTTTTTATTAAATAATCATAATAAATTTTTTATTTTGTTGAATAAAAATTTGTAAAAACCATCGAATTTGGTTGTTTAAATTTAGTCAAAAAATTCATGAAATTGTTTAATATGATAAAATTGTTTCAAATAATTCATTTTTGATGAAAATGTTTTATATATTTTTTTTGTAAAAAATAAATTGTTTCATGTATTTCTTATTATGATGAAATTTGTTCACTAAAATTGATAGAATGAAAATGATAATGTCCATAATTAACGTTCTCTACAATAAAAGTGACTAATCAACCCTCATAATAAAAAAAAATTATGATTGGTTGAGCGAGGTTTTCATGGTTTGTACTAATGACTTCGTTTTTATTTTATCCCTCTCCTATATATATATATATATATATATATATATATATATATGGTTGGGTTCATGTGAGAGTAGTTTGTTTTCGTAAGACCCGTATGACCACATTTTACATTTGAAACTTTACAGTAAACATTGTGAAGGTAAAAAAATCTCAACTTTCACAGCAAAAACACTGTGAAGGACTTCATATTGTTTTGCTGTAAAGTTTTAAGTGTAACAAAGTAGTCTCACGGGTCTTACGAAAACAACATGATCTCACATGATTCCAAGTCTCTCTCCCTGTTTGTGTATGTGTGTGTGTGTGTATATATATATATATATATATGCATGATTGGGTTCATGCGAGAAATGCCATTTTTCATGAGTATTGTAGCATTCATATAATAAATATGAGGATATCCTTATTTTATGCGAAAGTGACGGTCTCTGTAGAAATTGGTGAAGGTACACTTCAGGTCATGTAACCTTCATCACCTTCACAACAATTAAGGATGCTTCCAATTCTCATACTTGTCACTAAAAATCTTTTTTCTCATGTGATATACACAACTGTCATTATAAATCACGTCTTGAAAAACGCAACGACTTTTATCATGGCTCGCGCCATCTAAAACTTGGTTATAAACGGCTGGTCTTTATCCGTTACAATTTTATAAGGACCGGTTATGACCCATTTAAAAAACAAGGTATTACGTGACACTTCTTTATTAGTTAATGATATTAAAAATGCACCTCTTAAAGTGGACCACCATGTCTTAAAACTTGGTTAGGTTATATGTAACACATCACATCATATCAATTACATGTAGAGAATGTCATTATTGAGACCAAATCAAATTTATGTATTATGCTAAGAAAAATGTGGTCAAGTAGGTGTGAAATATACAGCTGGCATTCATAATAATAACAATAAAATAGTTTGGTCCACAAAAAGGATAGCCATCTAATAATGAGGAGACACTTTAATGACACCAATTTGGGAGGGAATTGATCAAGGGACATGAAAGCATAAGAAATTTATTTGTATTTGGTATATTTGACATGAGTAGACAACACATTTTTAGATGTGTTTTGGGCTGGAGGCGAATGATCGTATGAGAGTGGAAGTTACAGTGACAAGCGTAAGAAGAGATCTAAACTTTTGATCACTTTAAATCTCATGTCTGTTCATGACGTTTTAGAAGGGAATTGGTCATGTGTTTCTCGGTGGACCTCATTAGTGTTGGCATTCAATTAGGATTGATCAAAGGGTGGAGGTCCCTTGTATGTATTAAGTGATTGTTCAGTTGGTTTTCTATTAGGTCTTATATAAATTAAGTTGTTTGTATCAATTAAGTTGTCTATATAATTTATGATAAATTATTATTTGCTTATTTTATTGAATAAAAAGTCTGTTGTTCAGAAATGACTATTTTGTAAGGAAATTCCTTTTTTGTTTTCTAAATAATCATCATAAAATATATTTTTTTCATTAGATTATATGTTCTACCATATGTTAATCAAATATTATGTTCCTTACCAAAAATATCCAAATATCCTCTTTTTCGATGAACGGTTGAGATTACATCTTACATAAACAAACGCGGTTCTCTTTCCACTTAAAAATACAAGCCTCCATCAATCAATAAGGGTAGAATATTCTTTCACGAAATCCACACATCACCGTTTATAGGTGATGAGTGAGAAAACGACCTTTTTCTCTATAAAATTGGATGGCATTACCAAAACACCAACATCATCAGAATGTCTCTGGAGGTATTGTTTACAATAGACTTAGAGGTCATTTATCTAACGCTTATCATGATAAGAGTCAACACGTTACCTTATTTCACCGGGTAAGATTTTAATCAATTAAAACGACATCGTATACAACAATTTATTCGGTAATCTCATACAGGGTAATAGTCATTACACTTACTAAGTGAGCAAGACTTTTGGTCCTTATCATGCTTAAAATTAAGTAATTAATTTTTATACGTTCTACATTATAATATATTATGGATTTAGTATATTAAACATGATACTCTTTAAATATGATCATCATATGTTGCATGTTTTAGATTAGGTATCACCATAGTGGCTTAACATAATAACATTGTCTATTATGATAACATTTTATATATATATATATATATATATATATATATATATATATACATGGTATAGTTCAAATGCAACCATGTTCATTTGTACAACCAATGCAACCCACTCAATTGAGATATTTATGGAAATTATGAGAGTTCATTTATTATGATTTGAATATTTATGGAAGATAACTAGAGTTCATTAATTATGATCAATACTTTATATTAAAAAACAATCAAAACTTTTATGAAATCATATATTCATCAAATTAAATGGACGGTAAAAATGTATAAAAGAGATGGAAGAGCTGAAGCGGTTCAAGAAGCTCTAATCAAAGTGTAGAAGCTACAAGTCCTTGAAGAATTATTCAATGTCTAACTATCACTAAATACAAGACTAGTTGAAGAAGCCTCTACCCTCCCTCTTTGAAAAGCAATTAAGTATGGCCATATATACCATGTGAAAATGGTACAATATAGTTCTACTTTATAGTACGTGTATGACTACTACTGTTGTATACTCTTCATTAGCGACTCAACACAGCCAGAGACACGACAAGCATTCCTTCCCTAGCCTCTCAGATACATGTAATAGTACGACAAGCGTTCATCATGTCGAAACAAGAACCACAAATTACTTTTAATGGTCCGCATTTTAGATGCTTATATCCGTAAATATCACCTTGTATCTAAACCATCTCTTATCGTAGATATACAACTATCCATTATTATCGAGGGCAGTAGTTGTATATCTACTCAAAGGTATTAAAAAATCCTTCCCAACTCTTATCATGACCCTGACCCTTTCAAGGGTCTTGTCTACATGGTGCATAGACGTCACATGTGTGAAATTATTTTTAATTCACAGTCCTTTGGAGTTGTTTCCACTGTAACGCTTTCAATATCCTTCTCGGGAATTTTTTTCTGTCCCGACATGTCTAGTGTTGTTATTCAAAAGAATTTTGTTATGTCTCGCAACCACTTACGGTAGGTTGATGAGTTTGTCTAAAGGTTACATCCCAACTTATTATTAAAGGTGGAAATAATATTATGAATTTAGTCATCTCTTGTGAGTTCTTTGCCACAAATATTGAGATGTAGTTTCAGACACAACATTTCTTTGTTGAAATCAATCACCTTCTTGTAATCGAGTGAGTTTCATTTCACTATATGATTAGTTTGGGTAGTACATGGTAATGAATACTCTCGATTTTCCTTTTCAGGACATCCTACGGTTCTTAGAGGGTTGTAGTTAACGATATTCACTATGAAGGTTGTGACTAACATTGGACACATCAGGTCGGTTGGGTTGGGTCAAATGGCCCTAACTCAATTCCAACCCAATACCAACTATTTGGAGATTTTATAATTTGAGTATCGAGTCGCTTCGAGTTCAAATGACCCTAACCCAATTCCGACCCAATACCTACTATTTGGAGATTTTATAATTTGATTAAGTATCGAGTTGCTCCGAGCTATTTCAATTTGGATTGGCTGGGCTGGGCTGGTCTGGTCAGGTTTCTATACACATCTAGATACAAATTTAATAAACCAAACAATAAATCTGAGAGATAAGTGTTCTATATGCAATTGTTTTTATATGACATTAAATACTATAAAATTTTACACAGCAAGAGGCAACAAGAGGAATGACCAACCTAGAAGGCAATTTCCTTATGTAAAACATAGATACATTTTCCAATTTATTGTAATGGAAGAGTAATCTATGTTATGGGTTGGTTCCGGTGAGAAGGAAAGTTATTGTGAGAAACGTAGGAAGAGATCTCCACCATTTGATCAATCCTAATTGAATGTCAACACTAATGAGGTGTACCGAGAAGTACCGGATCAATTCTCTTCTTAAAGCGCAACTCATGGATGGACAAGAGATGAAAAGTGATCTACACATCTCTTTTTACGCTTCTCAGTATAACTTCCCTTCTCACACGATCCTTCGTCTCTATCTCTATGCTATATTACAGAACATCATGATAATCATTGAAACCTACTAAAAATCGACATGATAAATTTAAATCTTTAATTTTTAAATTAGAGTATAAATTTTGAAAAAGTAAATTATAAGATCTAACAATTTTCATGGAGAAAACTAATCAATAACCAATTGGAATCAAGAAAGATTTGCAGTAAATTTAGAGAGGGTGAAAAAGCAACACACCCATACTGCAATTCACATATGCCCAGATTACTCTCCATTCATGGTCCTTTCTACTTCTGCTGTGGCATCATTTGAATTTCTGTGGATGATAATGGCTTATTAAGATTATTGAAACCAAGCAAATTTACAGAAATTGCATGAAAATCCAACCAAAGTTTATGTAACGTACTTTTCAAACACACAGATATCTGGTTTACATTTGAGAATGCACGAAAAAATGCAACGTAAGTCTCATTCCTATCTTGTATTAACATTTAGACCTGAGGTACCAATTGAAGGTTTTAAAAGAATATTTTAAAACAAATAGGAATTAGACCAAAATACGTTGCATTTTCCTAACAGAAGAAAAGAGGGTAATTGATGGCAGCAGGAACTGACCGTGATGACTGTGGTGACTCGAGCTGCAATGTAACTGGCCCATCATTGACCAAATTGACCTTCCAGCAACCAGAGAATTACAAGTTAGTAGGACCATCAAGAGATAATAGCAGTTAAAAATTCAGAAGCATCCTACATAACTTGGGCTTGTTTGTTTACAATTTTTTTGTACGAGAAGAAGATCGGAGCAGAACATGGTGTTTCAGAACTTTACAGAACTGAAGTCTGAGTTTTGATAACTGTGGGTGTTTGGGAGTTTACGCGCATCTCGAGTAATCCCTGACATTAACAGTCGGGCAAACCTCTAGAGGCCTTGAGTAGACTTGAACTGGTGACTACTTGGGAGCAAAACCAAGGTCTTGCTAGTTGAGCTACCCCAAAGGGTTCTGAAGTTTTTGAGTTTTTTTACTTAAACGATGTTGAGCTTTCAAACTCAGCAAACACAACTTCTATTTTTATTCTAAATTTTACTCTTATGCCCCATTTGGTTTGCAGGAAAAGAAAGGATTTGGAGGGATTTGGAATTCAAATCTATTCCAATCCCATGTTTGGTTTGCAGGTTTGCTAGCATTTGAAATCCTAGGATTTCTTTCAAATCCCTCAAACATAAGATTTTGAAATCCCATGGGGATGGTTGAGATTTCAAGGAATTTCGAAGGATTTGTATATAATAATATTTTAAAATATGTTAAAAGCATTTGTTTTCCAATAATCAATTAATAATAAGGTAAGTTAATTATTTTTATAATTATTTGTAATTTGTCATTTACAAATTATCTATAGAGAACGGAATTCAATTCCATTCCAAATCTTAAAAACCAGACACGCTAAACATTTCAAATCCTTCCATGAAATCCAAATCCAAATCCATCCAAACCATTCCATCAAACCAAACGCCCCCTTACTTTTCTAAAAATGAAGGCACTGTCAAATACGTTATAATTTTGTTTGTCAAGCAGAAACTATAAAACCAAAAGATGGGTAGCATGTTTAGGAGCCTCACCTTCATCATTGCCCCAAATACTCCATCTGAAGCCAGACAATACAAAATAACACAGTTTAATACCAATTCCATGTTACTCGTGTAGAAAATAGGCTAAAACAAGATGTGAGATCGGAAATAGTTGAATGCTATGTAGAAGACATTGAACGACTTGAGAGATAAAATGATAAGAAATCATAAAATGCCGGGAAAGGATTCACTTCTTAGAATATTTTGATCGTTAGACCCGTGACTTTGTATCTAGAAGAGAAAAAATCGTTATCTATTTATATTTGAACAGTAAAAATCCATGACATTCACCCGAGAATTTGAGTCATGTAGCAAGAATAATTTTATTGACAAAATATATATGTTATAGAGATGCAAGTTCTAAGAAAACAAAACTAATCAGGATATCGCACTTGGAGGTAGGCTTCTGGGAGTATGCACACAAACCTGTTCTCTACTCCCAACAAACAAAGCGGCTATTTCCTTGAAGACCCCCCCCCCTCCCGAAAAGTGTGTGCAAAGAACGTTTGGCACGAGGATCTCAAGTTCTAAGTATCTCGCTTAAAATTTAAGGCACTATTAAGTTGGTCATATTAATATTTTCATTTCATGGTGCTATTTGTATGGTGTGAAAAGAAATGAATATTTGAGCGTTCATCCTAGGGCTGCTGTTATGAACCAAGCTCTCAATTGATTAACAATGGGTTTAAAGGAAAGAAGTATTCGGTTGTATGATTAATTGAAAGGTAAACATGGAACATCTAGCATTCCAGAGCTAGTCTCTCCTAAACAAACACACTGAGAATTTTCTGCATCCTCTACTCCCCCCTCTAAACCCTATTTATAATACCAATTTATTTAGAATCACCCAATTACCCCTTCTATCCCCCTTCTAGAATATCTAGCATAATACCGATGCATGACAATACCCCGCCCCCAAAGAACCACCTTGTCCTCAAGGTGGGTAGAAAAAATAGAGAAATTGCGGCTGCCCGATTACTACATTTCCCCAACCAGCTGCCACTGAAGTCAAGACCTCCCCATTAAGCTCCATTTCACCTTCATAGAAGGACCACATTATATGAACTGCTATTTTTGGACCGCTATACCACTGCTATAACTGCTATTTCAAATATCGGTCCTAACCGTTATTTTGTATTTTGACCGCTATAACAGCATAGCTGGTGATCAACATGCAGATATATTCACCAAGGCATTAAAGGTTGGTGACTTTAACAAGATGAAGGCAAAGCTTGGTGTCAAACAAGTCTAGCAGCGTAAGGTGGAGTGCTAAAAGATCAAATCTAGACTTGTTAATCGCTAATTCTTAGTCATGTAGAAATTTGAGGAATTTAAACCTGTGGATAACGGTTTTTTAACTATCAAATAGCAGTTAATTTTGTGATACATACACACACACACACACACACACACATATATATATATATATATATTGGTGTAGTAATAGTTTCTCGTATAATAAAGTATGTGCAGAACCATTGGTGGAGTAATTTTCCTACAATCCAGTTTTTTTCTCCCCACAAATTTCTTTCTTCTTTCTCAAATCAACACAAGTTTTCTGCCACTGCAGGGTCAGGAAATGATATAATGTATGCATCCTAACCCTTCGATCATTGAGAGAATCCTATAGCTGAAGCTTATTAAATGAAGGTCAAAAAAGACCAACCTTAATGCCCCAACAATGGTCACCTCTCATACAATTACTCCCCTTCTATTAGTGACTAGATATTCATTTGTGTGCCTAAAAATACAGCTAGCAATCATAGGCATTAATTGTCGTAACAACACAATTGTAAATGAATGGGTGAGTTTATAGTAGCTTTCCTTATTTACCGTGATAAGTTCATGATGCTAACTGTTTGCGCCAAGTATTTAAATTTGTGATATCAAGTAAATGGAAGCAGAAAAAATAGGCCTAGGTCTTAATGTTATACTTATTCCTGGCGGTTTCAAGAAGGCTGGGTGGTCACTACTATAATAGATTGTTATGTCTAAGTAAATACAAAACCAACGTACCTTTTACTGCATCTGCTTTGTAACTTCTCTGAAACCTTTCCACCAAAGAAGCATACAAGGATTTTGCTCTATCAGGTGCCATTGCAACATGAAAATCTGGCTTGTTACCCTTAAGTATCCCATACAAGGTAAATTGACTCACTGTGCCACCCAAATAGCATTAGAAAATGATGGGCAATAGCCTCTCTAAACCCATATTTTGGAATAATCTGCATAACAGTCTGTTAAAAGAATAAAGAAAAAATCATTGTTGTTACCTAACAGAACCTCATAATTTTTCTGCATTACCTGCCAATATACATAAACCCCTTTACTAAATTTATTCAATTTGGATACTCCCTTTATTCCCAAAAGAAAGACAAAATTGCACTTTGACTTCTCAATTTTGATGAGTACAAAAAAAACATCCCTGCAGTATGTGATCAACAACTATTTCAGACAATTGGCCTTCAACAAACGCTTCCGATCACTTGAGTCCATTATTACCAACACTTGCAATCCAAACTAAAGTATACGTTAGTTTACTTTGATAAGTTTGTCATATGCCAATGCCATCCATTCCGCTAATTTCAATGGTTATACCCCCTGGGGACGGACCCAGGGGGTTTTTGTGGTGGCATGTGTCACTGTTTCGTTCCTCCATCGTAGCGTAAAAAATATAGGGTCGTGAAAACTGCCACCGTATCAATTTGTTGTGACACTGTATATATTTTAGAACTACACTAAATACACAAGTTTTCCTTGCTAGAGTTGGTTTGCAAGGCTTTTCTTCCTCCCCAGACCCGAGTTCGGATCCCGTTAGTGTCTTTTCCTTAGTTTTTAGCTTTTAATTTCAGATTTATTATGTTTCTGAAAATTAATTTCAATAGAAGACTTGAACATAGGACCTCACATTTGAAAAGCAATCAACTAATCAACAGACCAATAATGATTTTGTGAAAAATATTCTTATATTTGTTTCTTATAGTCAAATGGTGGCATCGCTTGAAAAAAAATTTGGGTCCGTCCTTATTACCCCAGTCCCCCACTAGCAATGTTCTCCCTGGTATGGTAGAAGGTACTTCCTCTTACACCATTCACTTCATCCATTTGGCTGGAATGCTCTCTTATAGATAGTCAAAGCTTCTACATTTTGTTTTTACTAGATATTACAAAATTGATTTTTCGGTTGAAATTTTTCATGTTCTTTAGATTTGAATTTTTGTTTGATTCTGAAGTTGAAGAAGATGAGATGAGGAAGAACATGACAGGAAAATGACATTTCTTTACCTGTCTAAAAATGATCATGTCCCTATCCTCTATCCATCTATTGGAGAGAAAAACTAACGAGTCCATTAGTTTGACTTAAGACTCGAAGTACTAGAAGTGTTGGTATTCACATAGTCAATGAACAGTTTTTTAGCTTATTCTTATAAAGATGATTTTGTTTAGAACATAAAAATAAATTGTTGATTTTGTAGTATTTGTTGTTATGTTGTACAAAGCTTCATCTAACTATCGATTTGAAACTAAAATTTTAAGAATTCACATCAATCTAAAGATGATATTATTTGTCAATTTGGCCTTACAAGTCAAGTCATATCTTCTCTAACCGGGTAATGTATCACTTGGTACTCATGAATCATCACATCTCAGCATGCCGAAACAAGTAAATTTATGTCTACCAACTTGGATGTTCCACATTCCATTATGCTTATAGGGGATTAGCCTAGATGGGCCCAAGCCCCGACGCCCAAAATAAAATATCGGTTCAAACAAGAAGGCTAAATATCATGAGAAGGTAAGAAGAGAAAGTTAAGGGCAGGTCCATATGTGAATCATTGAAAAAATCCCAAAAATCTATTTGAATATGCATATATGAATCCGAAGTTATAGATTATTCATATGGGTTGGCCCACGGGTCGTGAACTTCTTTTCCCGGAGAAGAAGCAATGACAGTAATATGCATTTTCAATAATTCACATATGAAACTTCCTTGAATCCTATTCACCATATTTAGCCTTCTTATTTGAACTTCCCACTATATATATATATACGATAAATTTAGAGCTTAAAAACCAGAACACCCAATGCAATTTTGATTTGACAGGTAAAATGTTCGAATTCTCAAATAAAAAAATGAACTCTATTACAGAACTGAGGGAGTATCATTATTCCAAATTATAGGTCCAATAGGAGAGAAACAGAAGGAGAGACTTACACTTTGATCCCATGATTTGCCTGTTTTTTCGTTAGGAAACAATCTCATATTCAACACTTTACGACATCTGCAAACAATTATCAAGCAGCATTCAGTTACCCAACTCCTCTCTCTTAATTTATTTACTCACCGATACATCATTTGAATTCATAGGATTGTGTGCAACCGAAATAACAAAGTAGAAACCAGAAAGAGGGGTTTATGGAGAGCCATACATATAATCAGCATCGGAATCAGTATCGAGGTCGTGAACTCCGACGAGCACAAGCAGCCCCGGCCCAATCGCCGACACCGTACGCCCTTCCACCTGTAATTACACATATTTATACACTTATACATTTTTAAATATAGAGATACATGTAGAGTGTGTATTGTACAGACCTCGACGGAGGCGGAGATAACTCGCTGGACCACGGCCTTCATCGTTGCCTTTTGTTTCTTAGAATCCTGATCGGAGTAAAAATAGTTTCCAAAACCCTTGTCGGAAATGTTTTTGTTAAAAATCGATTTCAGTCGATCCAATTGAGCAACGGAAAAATAACCATATTTAGGGGTGTTTGGCATTGCTTATTTTTGTTGTTTTTTGATTTATTTTAGTCGGGTATCGATGATAAACTAAATGATAGTATTTGAAGGAGAAAAAATAAAATTGTTTATACCGATGTCAAACCGGTAATAAACAGTTTTTGATAAATTATTAAACCTTCCTGACTTATGAAAAACTGTTTATTACCAGTTTATTATTTTAACCTTGTTTTATTAATGTTTGTTAATTATTAATCTAATTGATATAAATTATTAATCTTATTGATATAAATTTTTGTCAAATATATTATTATAAATGATGAAAAATAAATTTTTACATATTAAAAAATCAAATAAGTTAATAAGTTGATAATATGGAAGATTGTCTTTTTTGGTCATTTTATATATATAAGCAAAATTTGTCAAACACTAAAAACAATTTATCAGCTTATTGCTTTTTGGTACCGCTATAAGATAATTCAAACACTTTTTACAAAACTCCGGTTTGATACCATATAAGTTAATAAGCACTTTTACAAAAAAAAAAACATAAGTTGTTTTAGGGTGCTTGAAATTGCTTATTTAAACCGTTCATCGACTTATTCCGGTGGCATATCGATAATAAGTAGTTTTTATTGTTTAGATGGTGAATGAAAAAAAATGTTTATACTGGTACCAAACCAGTAACAATGAGTTTTTTACTTGCTTCTAACTTATCAAAAACAAACTTATTAGCATTGCAAACCAAATTACATTATTACCCTTTTATAACCCTAAAACTAAACATCTCACAGATATACCTCATTCATTCCTCTGTCGTAGCCCCTAACAATTGTTCATGTCTCCGCTTCGCTGCTGTCCCTAGTCGACGTTTTCTTCCAACGTTGCCCTCTCCGGCAGCGTTGTCGCGAAGACGTTAGATACTTCTTCATTAGGTATAAGAACCTTCCCATTCATATACAAGCTTGACTGCGTTTATGTGTGAAAAAGAATAGTTCCTGAAGAAAATAGCATCTCAGTCGCATTCATCGATTAGAAAGGAAGCATACCTCCAGATAAGAAAATACCATCTCAATCGCATTCCTAAGGACCTGAACTTTGTGTACCCATTGTCTCTAATTGCCTCTACAAAAGCAGGACATTACAGAATATACTGCAGATCCTACAATTTTGAAAGAATGTCATTTTGGTAATTTTACATGGATAAGCAAAAGTTGTCAAACATTAAAAATTAACATATCAACTTATTACGTTTTGGTACCGTAATAAGCTAATCCAAACACTTTCTATAAAATTTCAATTTGATACCACATAAGTTGATAAACACTTTTACATAAAAGTATAAGTTGTTTTGAATAAGCAATCCTAAACACCCCTTTTGATATGATCTTCATCAGAAAATCTGAATTATGTTGTCAAATAAGAGAGGCTTGAAATCTCATTTCGAATGAGCACCAGGATCCTCGTTCGATCGTCCTGTTGTAATGAAAATATTTTTATTGGTTGTAAATGTATGCACACTTAATTTTGAAGTGTGCTCTTATATGTTTCTAAAAACCGAATTTAAAATAAAAATGTGAAGTTGTTCGAATGGTTGGGGCACAACTTTCTTTTTCTAGAGGTTTATATGCTCAATTCTTGTTCACAACGAATTCTAGTCATAGTTTTTTATGTTTTCAATTTTAGTTACTAAAAAAAGACAAACAAATATTCAATTGAAAATATTGAACTCAGAACTCGGTGCACTATTGTTGTTTCCAAATTTCTCAAAGTAGATCTAATTAGATGAACAAGAGCGGAAGCAATTAAGATCTATAAAATAGGACATAAATCACCAGTAAGATGTAGCCGTCATCGTTATATGTATTGATTGAGGAAATTGAATTACACTTGAATGATCTTCAAAGGATTCACAAACTATGTGTGCGCGTCTATTCAAATTCTATTCAAAAGCTTATAATGATTTGAGTATGAACATCTATTTATACACCCAAAATGGAAAAATCAAAGCATACACCAATGGAAGAGTTCAACATATTAAGATCCTCTAACAGATTTAAGCAGGAACAGTTATGTATTGTAGCTTTCACACTTGGTCATTAATGAGAAAGGTTGAGTCCAGAAGGGTTCCAGAGAGGGGCCAAGGGGGTCTACCTTGCCGAGTATCTTTTGGTTAAGCATCTTTGGATCTTTGTTAAAGTCTATTTCTGGACTTCAACATTTAGCTTTTTCTATAATTTTACATTTAGTGAAAATAGGGTCTAACAATCTTCCCTAAGTATTGAAAATACAATTAAGGCTATACTAGAAGGAAAGAGAATAATTCTATAAATGATTTCATTAAGGAAAAAGATTGACAAAAAATTAGAAGGAAAATGAAATCATATTTACATCTCATTTGGATCGTTGTTGTAGATCCTCCAAAATCTTCTCATCAAGTCTTTATAGTTCACAACAAAACAGACAATTCTGATGAACTCATTTCCGGATTCTGTTGGAAGGGTTGGTCTTCCCAATCTCTGAGCAACCTCTCTCTTCAACCAGTTAAGAGTCTCTGTCGAGTATTTGAAGGCCTTCAGAACTCGGAAAATTTTCTTTTGTTTTCTGCTCAATTAGGTATACAAATCCTAGTTCTGGTTCTGTAATAAGAGTTGTTGTTCGAATTTGCTCCAAGTTATCAAGTTACTCATTTGGAGGTGCCACAAAGTCTTTCAGCACCAAGTTCAAAGCAATTTGAAAGTCGGTTTTTGCTCTGAATTTCACCAACTGGTTCATTGTCTACTTTATCTTTCCACGAGCCATAGCATAAATCATTAATGTTAGTTCCAGATTTCTTAATTAAGATTTAAGCATGTAATAAGTGGAGCGAAAGCAAATAGATCCAAAACAGAGTATGAGCAATTAAGATGAAAAACAATAATAAAAGGTAACTAATATAATTGGAACACCATCATCATCATCATGTATTTTGATACGAAGATTTGAATCACACCTTATTGAGGTATATCATAAGGATCGTAAGTACAAACATACTTAGCAAAAGTGTAAAAAAAAATCTTTCTCATTGAACTACTATGATCACCTATTTATAGCCAACGAAAGGAAAGTTAAAGCATACACCAATGGAATGAATCCACAAGTAAAGGTGCTCTACCAAACTTTAGGCGAGAACGGTTAATGCGTCTGGAATTCAAACTTGTTCACTTACACGAGTTGGTGAGTCCATAGGTAGGTCCAGAAGCAAGACGAGGGGCTCTGATTTGTTGGATGAGTCTTCTGGTGACGGCTTATGGATTCTTGATAAGTAGGTTCTAGACTCATACTACTTAGAGCTATTTCATACTTTTACAGATCAAAATGATGGGGTCTAACAATATCCCCCTAAGTATGAACAAAGCAAAAATTAAATTGAACTAGAAATCAAGGGGCCAAGATGATTCTCTGTAAAAAAAATTCATTAACTAGACAGAAACAAAAATTACATGGAAAATGAAATATATACATTAGCTTTCATGGCT